GTACCACCCAGAACCACCCAGAACTGCCCAGTACCACCTGGTACCACCCAGTACCACCCGGTACCACCCAGAACCACCCGGTACCACCCGGTACCACCCAGAACCACCCAGTACCACCCAGTACCACCCAGTACCACCCAGTACCACCCAGTACCACCCAGTACCACCCAGTACCACCCAGTACCACCCAGTACCACCCAGTACCACCCAGAACCACCCAGAACCACCCAGTACCACCCAGTACCACCCAGAACCACCCAGTACCACCCAGTACCACTTGGTACCACCTAGAACCACCCAGTACCACCCAGTACCACCCAGTACCACCCAGTACCACCCAGTACCACCCAGTACCACCCAGTACCACCCGGTACCACCCGGTACCACCCGGTACCACCCGGTCCCACCCGGTACCACCCGGTACCACCCGGTACCACCCGGTACCACCCGGTACCACCCGGTACCACCTGCTGCTTGCTTGCTTTTCCACTGCAAGCTGCTGCTCACCAGTTAAATGATCTGGTTCCAAAATATCACTCATGTCACTGCTGGCAGGAGATGAAACTTTAACATCTGCATGTTAAAGGTGTGTGTGTGTGTGTGTGTGTGTGTGTGTGTGTGTGTGTGTGTGTGTGTGTGTGTGTGTGTGTGTATTAGAGAGAGTTTATGTGGCCTTTGAAGAGTTTTTCTGGTGTTTAAATGCTTTTATAATTCACGGGTCCAAAATGACCCATAAGACAATCCTTGTACCCTAGTGGTGAACAGCCCACATAGAAATATAAATAAAAACAAAGTATCACTTTTTCTAATGATGGGATCAATTTAGGAAAACTCTGAAAATTTCAAGTTGAAAAAGATAGTTTAGGGTATTTTTTCTACAGGTGAAAATGTTAATGGGTCTTTTGACCCACAAGACAAAACAAAGATTAAATGTTATAATTCATAACTACCTGTAACTTTTACTTTTAATATAACTCATTAATGGCTTCATGTTTTGGTTTGTTTTTCCTTTGACTGGCTGCTAATAACAGGACAAACTGGTTGGCTTTGACAAAATGGCCGCTCTGCTTCCTCCTCCATATTAAACTAATTTGCATTTTGTACAGTCAAAACATCTCAGGCCACATATTGAACTTGGCTTGAATAAAACAAAATACAACAATGTTTTAAAGGATTTTTATTTACAAGAGTCAAAGATTAACATCAGTTCACATTAAACATAAAAAAACATTTATTGATGCAAAAAACATAAACAGAATGGAAAATACTAAAAATAATAATTTTTCTAATTTCTTTGGTTTAGAGGATCAAACCAAAGAGCCATTTGATTTCTGAGATGTTAGAATAAAGTATAAAGAGCTCAGTTTTATTCAGTCTATAACTTTGCAGCAGCCATTTATTCCTACATTAAACAGCCATATTAAGACTCAGTTCAATGAATTATAAAAAGTCTCATTGGTTTGATAATATAAATGTCAGTGCAAATGGACTTTTCTCAATATGAACAGAACTTTGGCCCAGAGTTAGATAAAGTTCAGTGACTCTGATTCACTTCATCATAAATCAGGTTTTCTCAGCCTGGGACTTTAAAACTCCTTGTCCTGCATTTTCTCCCTGCTTCCGTTTTCCTGACTCAAATGAACAAGTGATTCATTGATTCACCAGGCTGAAGAAGCTCCAAGCCTCCACTGGTTCAGTGTTGGTGGAAGAGACATGACTCATCACCGCCATGTGGAAAAGTAATTATGAACACAGTCTTTATTCTTACCAGACCATAATTCATATTCATCAACAAAACGTCTTGTAGGACATTCTTACAAGGCACAAAGCTGGCTTTGTCTTAGACAGACAGTCTGATGAACCAGAAGAGGAAGTAAACATTTTTAATCACCAAGCAAACATTGATAAAACAAGAAGAGTGAGTAGCGTTCCTAATATTAAAGCAAACATCCAAAGAACAGTTAATAATGTAACAAAAAAGAAAAGGTCATGAAAGCATAATAATATGAAACCCTTTCAGATGAACTCATGATTAAATGAACTTAGATTATAATTTTTCCAACAGGAGGAAATAATAAATATACAGAACTACTGAACATGGAAGAAAAGATGAACTAATGAATTCACTGCTGATTCATGAATTGAAAAACTCGACAGCAAGAAACTAAAATTATAATAAAATACATAAATGTTTGGTTATTCATGTAACAAGATTATGAACATTAAAAATTAGATTCACTGACAGAAATTAACAGAAATTAACTTGGGATGATCTTTAACTTACAGGATTCTTGTTCATTTTTTTAAGCTCAAGAAAAGATGATTAAATCTTTGACCTAATATGAATAACTTCCTTCTGGGTTTGATGCATTCAGTTTCTTATATTATTATACATATTTCTATTCTTGTAACAGTTTTCATACCAAATGGTTGAAGAGACTTTAGATCAGGTGGAAGATTCAGACTCTTTGGTTTTGTCCCAGATCCTGTAAAGGTATTTCTACTTCAGCTTCATTTCCTGAGTCGACATTTTCTCTGCGATCTATGAAACACAAAACATTTAATTAATAACATCATCTGATTGTTTGAGTTACATTATTATTAAGATGACTTGAAGAAAAACAGAATTATGTTTTTCTCAAACTGTCATTTTAGTTTTTCTAAAGAAAATTATCATCAATCAGCAAAAAATAAAGTAAAGCATTAAAGTTTTGACTTTTTCTGAAATTATTTGTTTCCAGATGTTTGTTGACAAAAATAAGACAATTCAGAAACCAAAGTATATTACAATAGTTGTTGCTCCAGCATTGAATAACTGGACACAACAGAAAATAGACAACAGTGAATATTTATCTTAACACACAATATAAATGAGGTGACAATATTTAATTCTCCTTATCAGTTTTTAACCGGTAAAAATGTTTCATCAACCTGATCAGACAGAAAAGCTACAATAAATAACAAAGATCTGAAGAGAAAAGGAAACTCATGATGGTTTAGTTTCTTGTTTTTTCTTTTCTTTCCATCAAACATCAATAGATATTGATTAATATATGAAACTTTTCATATTCATGTTTATCAAAAGTTTTGCTTTTCTTCCACTTCAGATCATTTTTTGCGATCTAGTAAAAACTATATTTTCTATCAATTGGAAATATGCATCTATGGAGATAATCATTAATTTAACAAAATCCTGCATGACTTAAAAAGACGATGACTGACTTACTTGTTCACGTCTCCGGCAACGTAGAACACAGTATGTGATGAAGATGAGTGCTGCTAGACCAACAACACCAACAAGAGCACCAATAATTCCAACAATAACTCCAGGATCAGTTCCTGTGACAAGAAAGAAAAATGTGTTTTAACATTCTGTTTTTGAATATTTTGAATTTAATTTTGCATATTTTTTTTTATTCATGAGATCAAAGTTGTACATCAACAGTCACCTCATCATTCAGGTGTTTTCACACACACACACACACCACACACACACACACACACACACACACACACACACACACACACACACACACACACACACACCACACACACACACACACACACACACACACACACACACACACACAGGTCTTCAGGTTTTATCTGCCAGCTGAACATCAACATGTTTTAACAGGAAAAGCCTGAAGATGAATATTCAACCCAATGAGCCTCAATGGCTGCAGGTAACAAAGAAAATCTGAAACTGAGTCAGAGGGCCAGTAACCACTGGTTACCTAGTTAAACATATTTACCTCTAGTATCAGTCAAGTTGCTTTGGGATCCATTTTTATCTGTTGAATAATTACATTAAGAGTTATAGACATCAATATATTTATTTAGTTTGTCTTAAATGATCTTAATTTTATAAAACTCACCAAGTATTAGAGTAACGTTTCCCTTCCTGACTTGTCTTTCCAGACTGGGAACAAAGCAAATATAATTCCCTTCATCCTCCTCGGTTACTTTGGTCAATTTGAGGGAAATGTTGCCTTTTTCAAACTCATCAGGGAACATGAAGGTTCGGTCATGGTACTCTGGGTCTGAAATTTCATTATCTTTAGCTCGACTGTGATGCACATGTATTTTTTGACCCTTTAATTTCCATTCAATCGTAAGTTTGTTCACATCAAATGGAGGCTCCAGATGACATGGCAGAATAACGTCGTCTCCAACCTTTGCATGTATCGGATCATGACCAACAACCTTCACTTCATCTGGAAGAATAAACAAAGATAAAAATAAATAATAATAATATTCCTGTTTGTTGTTCAGCTAATATTCATACTTATTCTCCTGTAGGATCTTTACAATTGTGAAACAATGAATCTAACCCATTAATAGAGGTTTTTCAAAATAAATTTTTATTTTTATACAAATGTATATCTACTCATTTTTTATTTACCTCAATAAAATTACTCATGTTTAACTCAAGTAAAATAACAAAACCATATAACTTACTGGAGAAAATAGCTGGGACCCTTTAACAGTCTTAACCTCTTGAGTTGATATGATGGTACTACATCGGAAACTCACTAAACTTGGCGGACGCATCAAACCTTCTGGAAATTTTATGTATTTTAAGATTGTCACAAAAGGAACTACATATACTGCTCATAAAAAATAAAGGGAACACTCAAATAACACATCCTAGATCTGAATGAATGAAATATTCTCATTGAATACTTTGTCCTGTTGTCTATTCCATTTGCACAACAGCAGGTTAAATTGATTGTCAATCAGTGTTGCTTCCTAAGTGGACAGTTTGATTTCACAGAAGTTTGATTTACTTGGAGTTATATTCTGTTATTTGAGTGTTCCCTTTATTTTTTTTTAGCAGTGTATATATCTATATATCTATATCTAATGACGTCAGATGTACCACTGAGTTGAATGGAGCCTTAAATTAAAATATCTACAATGATTTACTGACTATGTGAAACATTCATCCATCCATTTTCCGTCACCCTTCTCCCTAACGGGGTCGGGAGGGGCTGGTGCCTCTCTGGCTGCTTTCCAGGTGGGAGGCAGGGTCACTGGGGTCACCCTGGACAGGTCACCAGTCTGTCGCAGGGCAATACAGAGACAAACAGGACAAACAACCACACACACACACACACACACCTAGGGAGAATTTGGGAAGGCCAATCAACCTGACAGTCATGTTTTTGGACTGTGGGAGGAAGCTGGAGAACCTGGAGAACATGCAACATGCAAACTCCGTGCAGAAAGACCCCTGGCCGGGAATCGAACCCAGGACCTTCTTGCTGAAAGGCAACAGTGCTACCCACTGCACCACTGTGCAGCCCTATGTGAAACATATAAACAATTAAATATTGCCTAGTCATGAAGTAAATTCAAGATGTCTCCTTTTTAGTTTTGATTAGTCATAACTCTAATTAATCATATTATAATTCATGATATCTTAAATGCATTTTTGATAGGACATTTTGACTAGTGAAGATTAAATTATAGATATCTTACAAGCAAACAATGACTCAGCAAAACTAAATTAGATAATTTAGTCAAAATTCCTTTATCTTCAAATTAATTAGTGATCAACAGTTTTTTATGTCTGATGCTTGAATCTGATATTAATATTCTGACTAGTCAGAATGACATTACCATAAATAATAACTAATAATCAATGAATGATTTTTACCTGAGCCTCTCATCACTAGACTTCACTAAGTCTATATCTAAACAGTCTTAGTGATGCTGAGGTTCTTAGTCAGAATATCTTTGGTTTATTTAAATGTGGCTTGTTTGGTTTTATGCTGCTGTCCAAATTGTTGCTGCAGTATTTCAGCAAATGTTTGGGATCTTTGGAGAGCTCCAAATGCTGTGGTACCGTTTCTTTATATCAGAATATCTGGTTCTGACCCACAGCGGTGGGACCCACGATTTTGAAATACATCATATCTATGCACTATGAACGTTAATATCTGTTTTTAATTTGACAAAAAATAAATTAATTTAATTATTATTTGTTAAAATCTAAATACGTTTCTAATTGCTAGGATATTTTCTAGTTAAATAAAAACTTAAAATATGGTTTATATTAACACCTTAATGTAACATTATTGAAACATTAATGCATCTTTTCAATCTACATTTTTGCTGTAATAAAACTATTTTACATGGACATAATTAATGTTCCTGTCCCACAACTTGTTCAGCTCTCCTCCAGCAGATTTAATTTATTTAGCTGTTGCAAAGATTTATGACACTTATCTTTTATATTAATGATTAAAATGACGTGTATTTGTGTTACTTTGCGCTTATGTTCATTGATGACTGTTTTCCAGATCTAAATGCGCAACGTGACGCTCAAAATCATTCATAGAAAATATTATCTTAACATTAATAAAAACGTATTTTCTTTAGTCCTAATCCTAATCCTAATCCGGGAAAAGATGGACAGTTACACACAAATTCAGGAAATCATAAAGTGGTTATACAATATCACCACCACACTCTGTAACTTACACCACGTATCAAGTTGATGACGACTGGAAGAGTTTTACGTATCTGTAAAATATCTTAACTTACCTTGATTCGTCCCAGATATCTGACTGATCAAGAAAACCAACAAAACCTGAAGAAACATCTTCATTTCTACCAGAGAGCAGATTAATGATTCTCTTTCAGGGTTTGTAACGAGTTTTTGAAATGGCCGAGAGTTAAACCCAATGATACTTTCTCTTTTGATTCGTTTGTGTTTGCGTGTGTGTGTATGCAAAAACAATATATCAGGACAGAGGCCATCTGTCAGTCTAGCTATTTTACATGTGTGTGTGTGTGTGTGTGTGTGTGTGTGTGTGTGGTGTGTGTGTGTGTGTGTGTGTTCAGGCTTCCAGTTGCACAATCAGGAAGCAATAAAGCTTCAATATGGCTTAACATGAAAGTGAGACAGCAGCCATATGCTCTGCGTTAATTTATTATTTAATCATCAGTTTGTCTATTGAGTTCATAATTATGTAAAACCATCATCCACACAATGAATTACAGTTACATAGAGCATTTAAACACAGAACAACAAATACTAGAGATCATGTCAAAGTAAATCACAGTGATGAGACAGAATTAGTAACATCTGAAGGAAGTGAATAAAATGAATCATTTTTATAAACATTTATATGCATCATTCTGGTTGAGCTGCAAGATAAAGTGCCAGTCTGGGATGAAGACAAAGGTTTTGCTGAATGTTGTGTCAAAGCTGTAGCTCAACCATGTCAAAGTCAAAACGCCGAGGGCCAAAAAACAAATTTGCTACAAGCCGAGGGCCGGACTGGTTCAACGTTTATTCAAATATATTGAAATGATTGCACATAGTTATTGAACCAAGACCTAACACAGCATATATTATTAATAATAATAAAAGAATAAAGCGATATTTTGTTACAACTATCTCGGTAACCTCAAGGAAAAACATTTTCAACAGGCAAACAGCAGCAAATTTAATTGTTTTGAAAAACTAAATGTTTCTTAATATCAAGATAAATACATAAATTAAAGTGCATACATTATAAACTGAAAATGCTTTATTGTGCTGCTCTATGATGTCCATATTCTTGTCTTTGTGTGTTTCTGAGAAGTTTGATAGATTATATTCTTTTATTGCTGTAAGAGGCATATGATTGAAATAAGCAATCAATGATGTGGCAGCAGCTCGTGGCTTTGACACTTGGGTGGTGGGCGTGTCGGGGTGGGCGTGTCGAGGTGGGCGTGGCTGTCTACCTGTCACTAAGGTGTGAATGGGAGCCATGCTGGCGCTCTGACTTTGTGTATGAGGAAACGGGTGCGGCGGTGATGGTCGTAATTTCTGTTGGTCGTGCTATAATGTCGCTTTATTGTTGGCACTGCTGTATGGTTCAGTATGTGTCAGTCCTGTAAAGTCTGAATTTATGGCAGATAAAGTGGAATAAATCGATGATTGCAACAACAAAGAAGCGGCCTGGAGTGTATTGAAGCACTAAAGTGCACTAAACACGTCTGACAGCTTAAAATTCACCAAGTTAACTCAGTGCGGCCCTCAAACATACCGTTAGTTTAATTACAGCCAAAGTTTCTGCGGGCCGGTTCTAATACTAATTAAACATCATCCTGGGGGCCACAGATAATTCATTCTTCATTCGCAGGCCGGATCCGGACCTGGACTTTGACAAGTGTTATAGCGACTAAAACTGAGGGACCAATGATGCAGTGGAAGCAAAGAAGATGAAATGACATTGAAAATAAATTAAAAATACTTCTTTCAAGATTATTTCATTATTTATTTTGTTTTTCCGATGTGCTTTAAAAAATAAATGCATTTTTAGGACAAAACAATTGAATTGGTGACACATGATCTGTTTTAAAAAATCTAAGTTAAAAAGTTCTAAATATTGATTTAGTTAATTAAAAAGTTAATTAAAAAACTAGTTAATTAAAAAAAAAAGTTTATTATGATTTTTTTTGTCACTTTTGGGTCAAATTAACCAGAATAATCTCATCTGAAACTCAACATCTCAAACTTATGCACAAATGGAAAGAACAACAGGAAAATGTAAAGGCTTTCAGCTCTATAATTAGTTTCATATTAGTGCAAAATATAACAATATATCAGGATAGAGGCCAAACAGAGATTATTACATTATCTCTGTTTGAATACATGACTGTAAAACAACATTTTGTAGGATGATCTCAAATCACCAGCTTTTAAATCCTATAATAAAAAAGAGAATGGAGATTCAACTTTAAAAATTATTACATTAACTTAAAATCAAAATGAGGCAAATGTACTTTATTTACATTTTTTATATGATAACTTAATGGTCAGTATTAAGTTTTCAAATTTTGCCATTTTATAGCGTAATCAAGTAGCTATGTTGCCTTCAGTTGTTAACAAAAGGCTATTAAAATGAAATATGACTTAAAAGAAAATTTAACGTCTTGAAATTGGGCATCTGTCACTTTAAAAACTCATGTTTTCTCTGAAACGCTGCCTTCAAGAAATCATCAAAACATGGCTGATATTAACCTTATTTTAACTTCATTTCACTGAGAAGTCCCACAAATAACCAGATCAGCAATTCCAGCAGGTGAGTGCTAATTGCTGGTGGCTAGTCTGAAGGATCTGAGTGAGTCATGTGGAGGAGGGCTCCTCTGATAGACAGAAGCTCAGTTTGGAAACAGCAGCTCTGAGGAAGGCGGAGCTAAACCCCACCAGGTATTTGTGCAGCTGAATGATTGCCATGGAGATTAAGAGATTTTTTTTCAAACATGCTTGAAAAAACCAAGGCAACAATTCAGGCAAGTTTTGAATGAGGGAATAACATCACATGACGCAAAGCTAAAAACTTTACTTTTCTTTTTTTTTTTATAAAACGTCACCTTTAATAATTTACTTGGATAAACTTCATTTGATTGCTTATAAGAAATTAGCTCATTATTTTGTACAGTTAGATCAGCTGTTTTCTTCTGGCATCTTGCATCCTAGTAAGATTCTCCAGCTGTTGCAGCCAATGAGAATCTTTGTGCTTTTCTATTATGACTTTAAACCATAAAGTGATTCTCAAACTATTTCATGCTGAGAACCACTTACCACATTTATCAGACACTAGCGGACCACCTCATTTGAAATTGCCACTGCAATAACATCTTAATCCATCTAAACGATGAATTGAGTTTCCTAAATCTGTCCAGAACTGAAGTAAACTCTGTTTAATCTGGTTTCCAGAAAAGATTCGCGTGATTTCTACGACCCCCATCCAGATGTCTCGTCCTTCTTCCCCCTGTGAATCAGCCAGACTGAGCAGCCAACTAGTTTCACAGAGCACATCTGTTAACGGTCGCTCCTTCTCTTTTCGTACTTGTTAGTGAATCAGGTTGGTTTTAGTGACTCTGGCGAGTCCCAAGGATGTTGTTTTAAATTTGGGCTAAAGCAACCTAGTTTTCTTCCCCAGAATAAAACATCACAGCTATTTTACTACCATCAAAAAACTTTGAGGTGACTCATAAATTGAATGTCCACAACATCTTTTAGATTTTCTTTATTAGTAAAGCAATAAAGCTTAATTAAGTAGCAGAAATAATCAAATAAGTAAAATCAATCATCTAGCCTGTCTTTCTCTAATGCTGATACTAAGAACTAAAAAGGGAACCTTTAGAGAGAGAAGGATGAAGTTTGGTGTTTCGAACCCCAGAACTGGATCGATGATGAAGAAGGTGTTGCAGCAGGAGGAAGAGGAGGTTGATTGATGAAGGCAGGGATCTCTGTTGGTCTGATGAGCTTTCATCTCTGCATCGATGATGAGGTCACACAGGACTTGGGTCTTTGTCTTTGTCTTGATCTTCATCTTTGTCCTTTGGGTCTGAACCCAGCCGATGAGAGAAGTCCAATTTGAAGCCACATGTTGCGGGGCTGATGGGTTGGTCCCCGTGCACAGGACAGTCTTCGGCTCTGTGTCTCCGGCTCTTCTTCAGCTGCAGAGTTCTTTGTCCGTCTCAGTCTTGACTCGAAGCTGCCTGGAGGATCCAACCAAAGATTCCTCTTTTGCTCTCCCCTTATATGGGGTTTATACCCGCTTTCAGTGCATTTTCATTGGCTAACACTGTTGCTGTGCTTTATTGGGTAACTTGTTTGGACAGATAAACTCATATCCATCACTGTCTTAGAGACATTTTGTCCTATGTCTTGGCTAATGTCTCAGGGTTGCTCAATGTTCCTCCCATGTCTCTGACACGTGTAAGTTGTTCAACAAGCTATGTCCTAATAAGGTCTTGGTCGTCTCTGCTTTCCCGTTTGTCCCCATTTAACCCTGACCTTTCACCTACTATCTACCTCCAACACATCATCAGTGATCTTTATAAGTAAACCTTTATAAGTGTTTTACTTGTACGTTTTTCCAAGTGTAAGTATTGTTATAAGTAAACCAATATTAATATAAGTACTTTACTTTAAATCTTATCTAATTACTCAAAATGTTTAGATTTTGTCTTTTAAAACTTTTATGCTTTTAAACAAGGACTGGTCTCAGCTATTTTTATACAGCTGCAAGCTGGAAACTTACTTCCTCTTTTCCAGGAAACCTGCTCTTCCTGTCTCATCTCTCTCTCTCTATGATTTCTTATGATTAGATAGAAAAAATAAGTAGAATGAAAGCTAAGTTTGCAGGAGACAAAACAACACACAACCAGATTTATGTTATTGCAGTCTGGGTCTACTGTTGGATCTAGATGTGATTTGTGTGAATAATGTTAATGGTAACTTTATTTGTTGTTACTGTTAAACTAAAATCTTCAGCATGGGGAAGCGGGATGATCTCGGATTTTCTTGACACAGTTGACAGCATGTCTGAGCTGGATCCTTCCTGCTCTGTGACAGAACATGGACGATCAGTTCAGGATTGATGGAATTCAACAACACATTTTAAATGAATAAGGGCTTTATCTGTGTACACTAACACACAGAGCACACACACTGTTTGCTTAGTGTGTTTTTCTTAACACACTAAGCAAACAGGGACGCAGTGATTTATAGGTGGACACAACTGAAACAATGAAGCTGTAGCAGCTTCTGTTGTGATGAGAGATTCTAAGTTTGACAGTTTCATCAAACATTTTTGTAAAGTCACAATAAATGTGTTTGCTGAAGAATTCAAAAAGCAGTACTAACTTGACAGGATGTGAGCGATCACACTGTTTCTCATGTCAGTTTCAGCAGTTTCAGCCACAAACTGGGTATCTCATGTTCTCACATGCAGCGCGGCTCATTTCCTGTTTCCTTAGAAACTCAAGGTCAGTGTTTATGTGGT